TAAAATAGCCTGCTAAAATAGCAACTTCCCAAACGAAGCCATTGATTTTTTTTTAAAAAAAAAAACACAACAAACAAAGCAATCGGCAGCCAATGACAGTGTAGGCACAGTGTTTTGCCAGCCTACTCTCATAGGCAAAAATGGCAATTTTGTCCTTGTAGACCAATTTTGAAAAAAGTGAGTTTAGGAGTAAATTTGTCATTTTAATTTCAAACATCATTTTAAACACATTTTTTAATATAACAACTCAAATAAAAATCTATCATATCTTCTCAAACACAATTAAAATCCATCCTATCTTCTCAAACACAAAAACTAAAATAACCTATTAAAATAGTCAAAAAACTTCTAAAATAGCCACTTCCCAAACATCCACTATACAAGAAAATGTTGACTTTTGTGTGAAGAAATTTTCTAGTGAACTACCACCACAAGATTCTTTTGATTTATTTTTATTTTTTGTATTCCTACCCACCCCTCAATTATATGTTCATAGACCAAACTTTCTTACTTCTGTTGGTAGCAACGTCGCAATTTTCTTCGAGTTAATCATGAAAAACACGCCTCTGTTTGATAAGTGGGTTTTGGGTTTTTTTTTTTTTTTTTTTAAATTTATAAAAAAAATTAAATAGGTTAAAATAATGAATAAAACAAAACGTTATATCAAATCCATAATCATTTTATTTTTTCTCTTACAAACATCACATTCAATTACAAAAAATTCAATCATCTTCTTAAACACAAAAACTTTAACCTATTAAAATAGCCAAAAACTAAAATAATCTAGTAAAATAATTTCTTACTTCTGTTGGTAGCAACGTCGCAATTTTCTTCGAGTTAATCATGAAAAACACGCCTCTGTTTGATAAGTGGGTTTTGGGTTTTTTTTTTTTTTTTTTTAAATTTATAAAAAAAATTAAATAGGTTAAAATAATGAATAAAACAAAACGTTACATCAAATCCATAATCATTTTATTTTTTCTCTTACAAACATCACATTCAATTACAAAAAATTCAATCATCTTCCTAAACACAAAAACTTTAACCTATTAAAATAACCAAAAACTAAAATAATCTAATAAAATAATAACTTTTCAAATACCCACTATGTATCCATGGGAATTAAAATAATAAAAAAAATCATTTACTCTTCTTAAATTTTTTAATAATAACTAGAAAATCAACAATCAGTAAACTCACATATCATAGTCCGACAACAAATAAAAAACCAACAATCATCAAGTCTAAGTGCAAACCTAACCACACAAATTGCCCCTGTAGTGGAGGAGAAATAAATAACATAAAAAATAACTCTTCTCTATAATAATTGAATCATAATACTACACCACCAACGATCCTCTAGAGTGAAATTTTTCTAAAGTTTCCTAGAGTGCTACATTGTGTGGTTGAGATTTACTGGCAAGTCACATCAATTGACTTGCCAGTAAATCTCAACCACACAATGTAGCACTCTAGGAAACTTTAAGAAAAAATCACTCTAGAGGATCCTTGCTCACCACAAAGCGAAATTATCTTCATTCGGAGGTGTATCTTTTTAACTTTCCGTAGCAATCTCCCAATTTTGTTCCACAAAGTCTTCATGGATTCTTAAATTTAAAATTCATATTGAAGTTTAAGTTGTTGAAATTTGGATTGAAACTATATGTTAATGATTGAAAAATGAATCTCCCGTGATCCAAACAAATAGTCTTCCCTCAATCGTTGGGTCAGTACAATTAGTAAATTGGATAGAAATTAATTTCTTTAGACTGTGTTTGAATTATTGATTTGAGTAAAAATTTAAAAATAAAAATGAAAAATGTGAGTGACATATAGTTGAAACGGATGATCCAAACACACAATTTTCTTTTCCTTTTTTCAAATTCTAATTGAAATTATGATCCAAGCAAACCCTTAGGCCTCGTTTGGGAATATGCTAATTTAGTAACTTTTTGGCTATTTGGCTAAAAAGGTAGGTAAAAAAAACTTGTATGTTTGAGATGACTTTTTGACTAATTACGAAAAGATGTGCAAAAAGTAGAGAGAAAAGAGAATCTTTGACTTTTTGGTATGAGTTGTTGACTTTTTGACTAATTTAGTAACTTTTTGACTAATTGACTAAAAAAGTAAGTCCCCAAACGGGGCCAGTAATAAGAGAAGCTTCCATTTCTCTAATTCATCGACTGTATTGAAGAGCATGAGCTATGGGCCTACTTTAAAAAAATTAAATGAATCGAATGTAGACAACTATATATTAGACTATATTTGTTTTAAAATAAATAAATGATATATAATTAAAATTATATGTAATGTTCATTTTTAAAAAATATCTGTAATATAATAATATAATAATCAATATCTACATTTTTTTTCTTACGTGAATAATTTACTCAAAATGTAATAAAACTTAAATAATTAAAAACATCAAAATGATTTCGAAATGAAGGAGGATTCCTTCCGATCCAGATTTTGGACTGGATCTGAACTAGAGGACTGGAGGGCATTGTTTAAGCCTATGGAGCCCATTACGAGTCCCGTTTCGATGATTCGAACCGTTCATTTTATTAAGCACTTCATGTATTTCATACATAAAAAAAGTCGAGTTGATCCGACTACTATAATTTGTTCAATTTTTCGCTAAAAAAATAGACAACAATTATATTTTTAAAAATAAACTATACAATTTTTCAGTGAGAAACGTAATAAATTGAACAAGTTATAGTTATCGGATCAACCTAACGTTTATATGTATGAAATACACGAAGTGCCTAACAAAATAAATGATTCGAGTCATTAAAATGAGACTTGTGGTAGATTTTGACCTGAAGGGTACTGATTGAGCTTGTGGAGTCCACCACGGGTCTGATTTGGATGATCTAAACTATTCATTTTGTCGGACAATTCGTATAGTTCATCCACATAAAAAATTAGATTGATTCGATAACTATAACTTGTTTAATTTTTCACTAAAAAAATAGATAACAATTATATTTTTAAAAATAAACTATACCTTTCCATCCCAATTCATGAACTGGACCAACCAGTCCACTAAGACCCAAGGAAATCTGAAATAATACATTCCATCTTGTTATGGGGAAATTATGTAATAGTCTTTAAAGAAATTTATATGATGGCTTAGTTTTTTTTTTTATTGATTAAAATAATAATCCCATCACTTTCATATTTATATTTGAATTTATCAAGTGACTAAAATAAATAGTGTGGTGCAGTGTTTTAAATTCATTAAATAATTTCTCATTATGAAGCATACAAATATGAGGATTTTTTTAAGTTCTGTGTTTAAGTCGTTTGTTATTAGTGTTTAAATTCAAGGTGCAATGCATTTAATTATGAGTAAATAATAATTTAGTGATACTTTTAAAAACTTGTTATAATGTCAAATTTTATAAATTTTAATGATTATTAAAGTCATAATTTTTTTCATAAATTTATAAAAAAAAAAAATTTGGGCAAAAGTACGACCGTCTTGTAATTTCCCCTTTAATTATTACTTCAAAAATGCTTAGAGGTCTCAAAAATTCTACCAAAAGTTTTACCAAATGTCTCATATGGGTGTGGGACTCACATTGTGTAGGTCCCACACCCATGTGAGACATTTAGTAAAACTTTTGATAGAATATTTTGGATCTCTAGCATTACTCTTATTATTTTTTTAACAACAAGTCAGTGTATATTTAAAATATTAAAAAAAATCAAATTAATTATAAACATTTATTTTTTCACTGATTTCGTCAAAAAATTGCTTATGTGCAATTTCCCCTTCTATTAAAACCATAGGGATAAATTACAAACACATCTTTTAAAATTTACTTGAATTATAAATTATTTTTTGGTTTTAAAAATTACATTGACTCCGTTTGGCAAGGAAGTTTGGGAGTATTTTAGTCACAAAAGATAAAATAGGCTATTTTAGCTATCAACAATGATTCATCCCACTAAAAATATCACCACTAATAGCACTAATGCATTAAAAAAATAAAAAAAAATAAAAAAAACACAACTCAAAGGCCAAAATATCACATCATTAATGGCGGGACCCACTGCCACCTAATTAGTGGGAGCACTAATTAGTGCTCCCAAGCATTTTTCTTTAGCTATAACAAACAAAACATCACATTCAACTCATAATCATTACATTATTCTCTCACAAAAAAAAAGTCAAAAAGTCCTTCCCAAATCAAGCTTTTTAGCCCATGTTAAAATAGTTAAAAAAGTCAAAAAGTCAACCCACTTCCCAAACAGAGGCTTTATGTTCTTTAAGTTTTCTAATTTCATAACAAATATGTTCTTTTATTAATAAATCATCAAGTTAATTAATAGTTTTTAATAATATTAAAATTCTATTTCAATTAATAATTTAAATAATTTTATTATTATATAAGTGAACAGTTAAAAATTTTAATTTTTTAATTAATTCTGTAAAATAAAAATTTTGACAAGAAAATATTTAAAGGAACAATTTATATTTTAAATAAATTTTAAAAAATGTGTTTATAATTTATTCAATTCAAAGGGTCAAATATAATGGCGTAAGGTAAACTTGTCCAGACGCGCACGCCACGTCGTTCAGACCACGTCGAATGAGACCCACCAGAGCGGCAACGCTTCCCTGCGCATTGTCGGAACGTGCTCGTGTAAACGCGCTCAAAGGCGCGTCAGTCTAACCCCTCTTCGCCCACCGAATATTAAGCCAAGTTTAGTAAGTTGAAAAAAAATCAAAACATTAAAAAATTCCTCAAAAAATTAAAAAGTTATCAATATTAATCAAAAGTTAAAAATAACGACTGCATAACTCTCAATTCTAATTTTTCCTTATACACTAATTTATATAATCTTTTAATACATATTTTTTCATAAAAAATTAAAAAATTAATTCAAATATTCATATTTTTTTTCCAAATTGTTAATCTAAAAATATGAAAAATACACTTATTTAAAACACCCCGTACTTACCCAAAACAGGCCACAAAATTCTCCTCCTCCTCTCTCTCTCTCTCTCAAATCAAAGAATGGCAACTACAGTAAGCTCTAGGGCACACTCAACAACAGGTTAATAAACTATTGGCCATAATTGAAATATGTATGTGAAGTCATCATAGTGTTCAATGCATTCATCCATTCCCAATTTTCTCATTGAAGGTGACTCCTAGATCCTCATCCAATTCCATTATTTTACTCATTCTCCTCATTATCTGACTGTTGATTTTGCCTTCAAAGATTTTATTTTAATTGGGTTTAGGTTTGTTTTCTTGGATCTTCTTCTTCTTCTCTCTATACCAATTCTGTCTCTGTCGAACCCATTTGTGTTTTTTTTTTTTTTTTTTTTTTTTTTCTCTCTCAAAACCCTATTAGCTCAATTGGAATCTTTTACGCAATCATTATATTCTAATTTTGTCTAACCTTGCACGCTAACGCTCTATGTTCTTTCTTTATCTTTTTGTGCAGAGTTTTGGGTCATTACTAGCTTGATTGTAGGTGAAGCAATTTACTGCTCTTTTTCCCTATTTCCTGTTCATATCTTCATTTCATAGTGTTTTGTAACTCGGATTCTCAATTGGGTTTTGATTATGGATTCTGATTATGTTTGATATATGGCTGTATTGATTTTGTGGGTTGTTTGTTTTTTTGGAAGCAGTGAAGTGTTTGGAGCTGAATTTGTAGGTTTAATGGCAGAAGAATTGGTTGGGCCTCGCTTGTACAGCTGTTATAATTGTCGAAATCATGTTTCGCTTCACGACGATATAATTTCTAAGGCTTTTCAGGTGAAACTCTTTAATCCATGAAGTATGAACCATTGTTGAATTATGGTTATCAGTTTTAGAAATTGACAATGCCCTGTTTGTCATTTAATTTGTAATTTAGGCTCCGATTGGATGAGTGGATTTTAAATATGAGGGAGTGGTTATGATAGATAAATTGAGAAACTAAAGGGGAAGATAGAGTTGAGTTAGGAAAAAGTATGTTCTTAGTATTTTTGTATGCAACTATAGTTGTTTGTATGAAGGATTTGAAATAACTATTTGACATTGGTGTTTCAAATCAATCCTTGTAAAGCTCTCAAATTCAAGATTGTAAATCCATATCTAAACTATCAAATCCAAAATTTTAGCTTTTCTCCTTTAATAATTAGTGGCAAAACCTTTCGTTTCAAATCCATTCCAAACACGACCTTAATGTTTAATCTTGTTCACATGATCATTTGATTGGAAGGACTCGACTGAGGGAAAACACAACTGGTGACTTGTGTTGTTATTAGAAGTATGTGAACTACTCTTCTTGAGGTGGTATTATTGTTTATATACAACTGACTTTTGAGTGGAACTGTTTAAAGTCTTCTGAGAGGAAAGATTGTAATTTCGTTTTGCTTATAACAGACTGGTTTCTGATTAAATTTAATCTGATTTGATTATTTTAAGTTTGCTCTTTCTTGTTAGAGCTTTTATTTTTGTTTCAGTTTTGGTGTGAAAAAAAGTTCTGGGCAATTTTGTTTACATTATTTGATTATCTTGTTTTTAGGGAAGAAATGGTCGAGCCTTTCTGTTCTCTCATGCTATGAACATTGTTGTGGGGCCTAAAGAAGATAGGAATCTCATGACTGGTCTTCACACCGTTGCCGACATCTATTGTGCGGATTGCCGTGAGGTGTTGGGCTGGAAGTATGAACGGGCTTATGAGGCATCACAGAAGTACAAGGAAGGGAAGTTCATACTCGAGAAGTCAAAAATTGTGAAGGAGAATTGGTAGAGCCTTCTATAGGGGTCCTTGTATCATTCACCCCATTGTCAATGTAAGTGTGCAATCAATCCTCCTAATGTTCATTTTGTACAGAAACTCCTCACCCAATTGAAAATTTGTCACTCTCCCAAACTCTCCACTATTACTGTCTGGTTCGTCTGGAAGTTTCTTAAACCAATTGTTTCGTTGTCAATAAAATTGTGTTACTGTTCACATTTTCGAAATCCTTATGTGATGATTGTATTTGTTGCAAGTCCTTTGATATGCTTTGTCTGAAGGCTGTGCTATGATGCCAGTACCATGGTTCTCTCAGCCATAATCACCACAAGTTAGGGACATCGATAGTAGCTAAATAACCAATAGTAGTGATTTTACTTAGATTCTTTCAAGTAGAACTATAGGTATCTTGAAGATAAAAGGAGTCATAGGTGCCTTTTCATTTGAAGGAAACGGCAAAATTAAAGAGGCACCATTTTAATGTAAGGATGCACTATTGTGACATTAGCATGTATAATGTATTATGTTGCCTTAAAAGTTGGAGGTGGCGGTAAGAGATTCGAGGGTTACAATTTTTAGGGTTTATTGGTTGTTTTAAGATTGAAAAACTTGTATTCCTCCATCCTTTTGCAGTCAGAGGCAACATATGCAATCATTTGGGCAGGACGGAACTGATTGCCCAGTCATGAGGCATGTGTTCCTACTTATGGTCATCCTTATAAGTGCAGCAATTTGTTTGTATCCTCTATCATGGAACTAAGTTTTTGAGAAATTGTGGTGATTTAAAGGTGGTTGTGGGGAGGAATGAAGAACTTTTTAAATTATGATTACTAGAACCTGTTACCCTCTTTTGATGTTTTGAAAACCAAATTTGGAGAATTGGAGATTGGGTTTTTCCTAATCGTAATGGAATATGGTTTTTTAGTCTGTATGGCAAAATTTGCAGTCTCCTATCTCACACTGACAAGATATTACTGTAATTTGTGAGGCAGAGACATTTTTAACCATTTACTCAAAAGGTTTCAACGGCACACATTATTGTTTTATCAATGGATAACTTTGGGACTTTGGCCATTTTCTGGTTCTCATTTTCTGTGTGCTTGTGGGAGTTATTTACCAAAACCCATGCCATTTTTAAACAATTTCTGAAACACGACTTCAAAGAACAACTTAGGTAGTTCAAAACAACTTGCATTTGGGAAGTTTGTTTCAAAATAACATGGGTGTGGTAAAAAACTTGTCAGCACACAGCTAGTGAAAACTTGGTTGTTACTATCTAAGGTAATGATAGTTGAGCTTCTTAAGAAGATTGCAGGGAATATAAACTGAAAGCTCTACAAACTTGCCTAGGTTTATTGATGTTTGGAGTGTTTGTTAAAAGGCAAGGGTGGGGGTTTCTTAGGTTGTCGTGCTATGAAAATGAATTGAAATTGCAGGAAAAACCTAACTACAGGCAAGACTGGTCTGCTGGGGGGGAAAAATAAGTAATGTCCTTATATGACATGATTCATGGAGAAATTGCAACGGCCCTAAAAATTAGTTGTATTAGTTCAATTAGCCACTTTTGTACATTCCTATATGGGATGTACGTCAATCGTTGTCAGAGACAAATATTGATTAGTTCTCTTTACTGTGGATATTCTTTGTAGTATTGAGTTGTTTATATCTTCCCTATTATAGGTTATTTCCAATTGGGCATCTAAGTATTTGTGAAGCCTCTTGGAAAGTTCAGAGCCCATGGATTGCCTTGCTCCATCGGCGTTGGCCAGGCCCGGTCCTAAAAATATGGACTGACCCGATTAACTTTTCAAAGCTAGACCCAAGCTCCTGCCTATAAGTCCATCTGAAATGCCTGTGTTAGACCCATATATACTAAATAATGGATACTATTTTCTTTTTTTTTTTTTTTTTGGTATGTATGCATTTTTAGTAAACACAAGAAGATCATAATTGACAAACTGTGGTATGCCAACTATGAAACTAGGAACTACATTTCCACAAGATTAAAGATGCATAAAATTTATAGAGATGGCAAACGGGCTGGTTTGAGCGAGACACAACAGGTTATGCATCAAAACAACTCAATCTAAACGGCCCGATCACCAGATTTATGTTTTACACATGGAATTGAGAGATCACCAATTATGAAATATATAGAGATGGACAGGTATGTTAGAAAATAAAATCAATTTGATGGATAAATTTATGAATTTATTTTTTAATCCTGCAAAATTTTTGATTAATATGAAAATAGTTTTCCTAACTTCAAGTGAAATGGTATTTTACCAGAGGTAATCGGCCATGAAGTAAATATATATAATTGGGCCGACACCTTGTAAAATAAATAATTGATGCAAAATAGGAAAAGTAGTCACCCAAGAATTGCACACTATCTCCAAAGGCTTTTTAACTCCATCCAACTAGAGTTGTAAACCAAACAATTTTATTTGAGTTTCACTTGTGTTTATCTAATTAAAAATTTATTCAGAAATACTCTTTCTATAAGTAAGTTAAACATGAATTTATTTTTAAATTTGTTAAATTTTCAAATTAAGTTTAAACAATCTACTATCAAACTCGATAAACATAATTACTTTTCTAACCCATCTAATGCAGAATGATGTAAAAAATAAAAACAAAAAAATCCAAAAACCAAAAAATCAAAAAAGTCTATTCATTTTGGCTTTCTGTCTTTAATGAGTTTTTTTCAATTTTTTTTTTTTTATTTTGTGGTTTGTCCAATCAAGTAAAATATAAAATATATAATTTTTATTTTCATTTTTTTTTTTACAAAAATCCACAGAAACAAAAAAATATTAGTAAAAAAATCACTAAATTACAATTAGCAGGAAAATTATATAGGGTTGCAACTTTGGCAGATTTAACTCGAGCAACTAGAGCTTAGTTCGAATTCTTTTAAGACATGGCAAAATATTTTTAAATTCGGTGCGAGCTTGGGCAAAATTCAAAATTCGAATTAAATTTGGGTAAACTTGGACAAATATACCAAAGAACCCCAAATCCAAATTATATAGATGTAAATATATAAAAATATTAAATATATATGTAAATTATTAGTCATTGGATGATATTAAAATAATTTAAATTGTTAAATCATATTAAATATATGTTATAAATACAAATAACACAACACAAATACCTTTTCCTTTTCTCACCGAAAAATTGTAAAGTTCGCTGTAGCGACATATAGGCTTTTTAATTTTTATAGCTCTTGCATTATATAAATTATTTACTTTGATATTATTAATGATTTTACAAAAAACAAAACAAAACAAAACAAAACAAAAAAACAAAAACAAAAACAAAAAAAATTAATAGAGCCTAATTTTAACAAATTAATTGAGTTAGTTGCACACAATTTTTTTTTCTTTTTAAATTCAAGCTTAACTCGGGTTGGGCTTAGATAGACAACCTTGGGTTACAAATTAGACTTGGGTGAGCCTAAGCAGCTCTCAGTACAACTCAATCTAGGTTTGGATAACCTCTCAACCCGCTCGAAACTACCTGAGTCGCACCTTTATATGGGTCAACAAAGTGGGTTGCAACTTGGTAAGTTTTTTTTTTTTTTTTTGGGGGAGGGGAAGGTTAGTTACAGGCCGATTCTTTGAACCGAACTTAATACTCAAGCGATCCCGTTCCATAACCCACACATTTTGACTTCTCTACTTTGTGCATGTCACTGCCATGATCCACCATCGCCCATTCCAGCCATTGTCAATCATTTCCGATCATCAGCGATACCCTTTGGTGACCTCTGATGATCACCTCCGGCAACCTCCACTGTTGCCACTATCCTCTGACCTCCGACAATATTTTTTTTTATCCATTTTTCATCTCAAGTACGTCACTACTACCACCATCTCCTTCTTCGATGTAGTGGCAACGAAAAAAAATGATGAAGAGAATGAAGGAGAAAGACGAGAAGCCATTACCAGAAAATAGTTCTCATTATTTTCACATTCACAGATTAAGACAAATAATCAAAAATCAGATTTAGTGATAAATTTATTATTGTTTATTTTGTAAAAAAATTATAGTAGGAAAATCAAGAAATCACCATTATAAACCAACACAAGAATCAAAGATACATTCAGTGATAAATTTATCACTAATTGTTTGCAAAAAAAAAGAAAATGTTGAAGCAAAATTAAATTATCACCATTACAAAATGATAAATTTATGGAGGAAGATGGTGGCAATGATGATGTTAGATTCAATGATAAATTTATCACTAACTGTTTGTAAAAAAAAAAATTACAAAAGGAAAATTATTATTACAAATAATAAATTTATCACCGTTTAATTTATCAAGTTTTATACAAAAACAAACATATTCAACAAATTTACTAATAAACTTATCACTGGTTTAAAAAGATAGAAGCTCCGATCAGCATTGAAAATACCTAGATGAACCAATCACCGTTCTAATCTAACACTCTGAACGCCTCAATTATGTTTTCTTTTTCGTCTCGCTTGTCCATTATTAACGGGTATAGAGCTGCGAACTCGTCAATGTCAACACACCCATCACCGTTCATGTTGATTTCTTGATCTCTCTTAGATCTAACTCCCATCTCTCTGAAATCCAAGAGCCACAGAGGCAGCTCTCATGTTCACCAACACCAACGAATAACTGTTCGATTGCTGAGTCTTCATCACAAACTTCCTCACCGCCATCGACGCCGTGACCCCTTCATCTCCGTCCAATATTATAATGGCGCAATCAATGGCTCTTGGAACACACCAGTGCATGAAATACCTTCTCATACTGATTACGATTTCTATACGCAAATCTTTTGTTGCCTCCCTTTTCAAAACCTAGATCCTTCAGGTGAGAGAGAGAGAGAAAAAAAAAATTTAAATAGAACCACATAACTCAAACCAAACCCGCGAAGCATAATAACAGAGGTAAAATCGGGATAAAAAAATACAATAAGACTTATTGATGTATGAGATAGACACTTAGGGCATGTTTGATTGACAGGATTAGAGTATGAAATTTAGATTATTAATCCGTAGGCCTAATAATCATGTATTTGTTTTGAAATTTTGTTTCAGGATTATTAATCCAATAAATAATTAATCCAACAAATTTGTAAGATTGTTAGTAATGGGATACGGGTGAAATTATATATCATGAGTTGGGAAATAAAATAAAAAAACTCTTTTATCTTCATATGTTTTCTTATCCAATACAAATCAAACTATGGATAGGGAGATAATTTATCCTACTAATCTAATTGAATAGTTAATATCACACTAATTTGATAATATTATTAATACCTTAATTGTTAATCTTGTAAATCAAATATAGGCTTAAGACCTAATAAATAATAGATTCAAGGACCGGCTAGTAAAAAAATCTTCAAAAAAGACTGTATCGTGTCTTAAAAAAAAAAAGTCTGCATCGTTCTGGGTTTTGTAAGATTTGGCCCATTAGTCCGGACCCAAACACAGGCCCAATTACTCTGTTCTCTCTGAAGATTGAGAGGGGTCAGAGAGGCGGAGAGGAGAGGAGAGGAGAGTGGGGGGAGAGAGAGAGAGAGCGAGAGATGTACCTGAAGAAGGCGTTTTGGAGCGACGCTCTGAACTCGGAATCGCAGACTCAGTCACCGTCGGCAGTCGGAGATCTGGTGAAGTCGCTTGATAAGCAGAGGGTGTACAGAGAAGTCACGCTTGCACTCCGGACCGGACTCAGGGACGCCCGTACCGAGTTCTCCTTCCTCCGGGTCCGCGGGCTTCGCAGCATCCTCAAGTTCCTCCGATCCGTCGCCCACTCTGACTCCACCATCAATCTCTTCTGCCACAGTCAATCCATTCCCGATCTCCAAGGTCTCTTCTCTTTCATTCATTCATTCCTATATATATATGTATCTATAAGATCACGATTTTCACATGTATACCTGTGTGTGTTTTTCAAATTCAATGCATTCGATTTATCTGTTTAATTCCTTTTTTTGTATTAAGGATTTGTTACGGCTGGATCGCTGTCGTGTTCTTGTTTGGTTGCCGAGAAAAGACGAACTTGAAATAATTGAAAACACAAATTAGAGAGCCCTAGAAAAAAGTAAGGGAGTTGAATATATCCTATCTTGTGGCTTATTTGGTTTAATTTCTGAAAATAAATAATAAAGAAAAGCGAAAATTTTGACAATTGCTAAGTTAGATAAATTGAATTAGGCTCAGTCTTTAAGGCTCGGTTGAGTTGAAAAGTTTGAAATATTGGATTTATATGCTTTCCTTATTTTCTCCGCAACTAAACTTAGCATTGTTTTAATTTGATATTATATATATTAGATTTGGAAAAGATTTTAGACTCTATTATCATGACCATTCATTTGTCAAAGGTTCAAAATTGGTAATTTCATGGTTTCTGTTGTGATTTGAAATTGAAATGTGGTTGATGTTAAAGTTTTTATTTTTTTGTTATGATTTACCAGTTGTTCCAGTTCTGTTTCAACATTCATTAAAAGAGCTAGAGGAGCAGAAGGTAGCAAATTTGGATCATATATTTGGCACTGAACCTATAAAAATAGTTACTCCTTCAACAGATTCTGAAGTGGCACTTGCACTTCGAGTTTTGGAAGGATGTTGTTTGCTCCACAGAGAGAGCACGGTGCTGGCTCATCAACACAAGGCAATCCCGGTATGCATATTCCTTGTTTAATCTATTTCTCTGGTCTACGTGGTTTGATCATCAGCTCATTTGTTTTTCTGAAAACATTGTTGATTTAGGACCTATAACAATGCCTAACCCCAATTTAGCTACGTGAAAATGCTTTGGTTCGTGGATAGAAATCACATTGTAGTAAGAGTAATCACTTACATATCATACACCTGTTGAATGTTCATCCCCCAACCCTTCATCATCCCCTTGTATATAAATTTGGAGCAGACCTAACCCAATACACACCGGGAAGCCGAGTGTTTCTGGGTTCAAAAATGCCGAATCTTGTCTCAATCATAATTTGTAGGACTCTTTAAGTAAGTTCCTTTGCTTGGATGGCCCATTTAGTGCATGCCGCTATTCCTAGATCTAGAGGAGAGTACGTCCGTTGGAATAATTTCTTAGATGTATTACCATATCCCCAAATGTTAGGCGCTCTTTTTACAGGTCAGTGGAATCTTTATGCTTAGCACCTCTACTCAAGTAGTCATTTATCTGGTACCTCCCAAGGAGCAGGAATTGCCATTCTAAACCTTCTTGGGGGATTCCATCCATGAATTATGGGTGACTGATATTGCTCGTCATCATTTAGCTATTGCATTTACTTTTTTTTATTTTTTATTTTATTGGTTGTTGTTCATATGTATAGACTAAACCTTATTGGGGGATTGGGTGTAGTGTGAAAGATATTTTAGATGTCCACATTTCTCTGGTTGGAGGATTGGAACGTGGCCGATAGGGTCTTTTATGACACAATCAATAAATTAATTTATTTTTTTTTTTATTTTTATTTTTATTTTTTTTTATTTTTTTTTTCAGTTAGGTCTTGGTCTGGCTTCTTTAGGGGTTTGGCAATTAGTCTTTAACTTTTAAGTTCTTTCCTTTTCTTTTGAAGCTTTGCTGCTGAAATTTTCCTTTCACACTATGTTCAGAATGTCAGATTTTAGCTTCATATGTTGCAGGTATTGATGAATATATTATCAACTCAAGGAGTACTTGAGCAAGGTGCATGCTTGGATGCTTTAATCTCAATAATGTTGGATTCATCAGCCAACCAAATGGTATTTTATTTTTTATTCAGTTGTTTGTTATGGTTGCTATGGATTTTTTGATATCTATTAACTTCTTGGCCAATCAAGCTGTATCATTTTTTATTTGCTTGGTGGTTATAGTTAATATTGTACCTTATTTCATACTTTTCTCTAGGTCTTCTTCAATTTAACTCATTGTTTTGGTACTTCTCTTTCATGGTTATATACTTGTATTCTATGTTACATGGACTCTTCAAAATAAATCAAATACCCGTGTCGGACACCCGACACTCGGACAAGGGTATGAGATATGTGTCGGATACTTTTCAACGGATACTTCTTATATAATTGTATATAACACTATTATTATATGTACATATTGTTGTATAATTGCTATAAATGTCATTTTGACACTATAAGTTAAATATAATACCATTTTATCTCACATATTAGATTAAAAATATAAAAATATGACATTTTTTTGCCGAGTCCGCGTATCCTTAAATTTATGATTTGATGAGTCCGACCTCTAGATACATACCCGCACCCGACACCCATACCCGAGTCCATGTAACATAGCTTGTATTATATTTGGCACAGGCTGGTTCACACGCACACACAAATTCTGAGAATAAGTTCTAGATGAAGGTCTTCAGTATCAGTTGTGGTGCTATCCTTGGTGAAACTATACCAAGAAAAATGCCCTCTATATGTGAAGTTCTGAGGGGATTCTGTAATCATGCTACCACATTCTCCATCTATTTCGTTGTACATCAACTGATATTCAATGTTGGCTTTAACGTAATTGTTTACCTACAGCACTCTATTGAAGTGCATCTTGTTGTAAAAAAGCCACTATTCAGTTGAAAAATTGCAACTTTTTAGAGAAGCAAATAAGTGTCCAGCAGAACAAGTAACTGTACGAGGATGATGGTAGAAATTTGCATTGCTAACTTCCAAAGTGGATTAGGAGTAAAGAACACTGGTCAAATGCCATATCAGATTTGAAAATTTAAGTAAAACAATTGAACAGAATGAATGAACTATTTTCTCTGTATTTCAACTTTTACAATTCGAAAGGTCTTAGCTAGTCTTGAATGATTAAAAGGCTCCTTGGTCTTCATGATATGCAAAATCAAGGGACTGTAGGGAAGAAGCTACTTGGGGAGCAAGAATGTAAACAGAACACTTTAAAAGTCAACTTGAATTTGAACTGCCCCAGCTTGGCCAAACTTTTTCAATCCACAAAACTTTCCTGCAGTCCCATATTTCTTTTATGAGCTCTATGTTACACGGATTCTTCAAAATAAATCAAATATCCATGTCGGACACCCGACACTTGGACAAGGGTATGGGATGTGTTGAATACTTTTCGACGGATACTTCTTATATAATTGTATATAACACTATTATTATATGTATATATTGTTGTATAATTACTGTAAATGTCTTTTTGACATTGTAAGTTACGTATAGCACTATTTTATCTCACATAATTACAAATATAAAAAAATTACATTTTTTTGCCGAGTCCGCGTACACTAAAATTTATAGTTTGATGAGTCTAACTTCTAGATACATACTCATGCCCGGCACCCGACACTCCGTACCCGAGTTTGTGTAACATAGAGCTCATCAAAAGAAATGATAGCATCTGGCAACAGGGGTACTACAAGTACATATTTTCAGCTTGATGGGAGATGATTGTAACCAGTTGTGTGCTTTACTAGATAACCTAATATACCACATTCCAATTGCTTTTCTCACCTTGAACCAAAGTTATTAATCCTGTACCGGTCATCATACCCTTTTTATTAGTGGTACGGTATGTATCAGTACCGGTATATTTCTGCTTACCGTTTCAGACTTATCATTATAAATATTATGTATTTATATACTATTATATATACACAAGTATTTTAAGGGGGAAAAAAAAAATCATGCAAGACTTAAACCTACCAATATTTTTTAGAATTTTTTTATTCAAAACAATAAATACATTAGCAAATAGCCGTGTGAGAGAGAAGGAATATTCCACACTATGTCAAATTGATTTGATTTGACATTTGCTTTTCGTAACATCAAAGAAGGTGTTGAATTGGATTTGAATCGTGTATTTGGTACTCTTCGGAATGTTGCGGAATGGCAGTATTAAGACAAAACAACTGGTAAACACCGGAACAATCTGAAATTTTAAGCGAGACGAAACACAAATATAATAATACCGTATTTTGGCTTAAATGGAATATTCAGGGTCGTACCGGGTGGTATAGAACGGATTTGACAACCATCCCTTGAACTCCCTTCAAGTCTCCTTTTGAAGCACAGTAGCTTTGCCTCTGCTGAGAATCTCAAAATAAAATAAGTAGGCCTTTAAGAGTTTTGTTATCTCAAATACTTGATTATTATATCTTTTGTGTCCACAATTCTGTGATTTTTTTAATGCATATTTGGCAATAATGTATAGGATTTTGAGGAATGCAATGGGATTGAGGAAGTTGCAGTACTCATAAGAGACAAGCAAGTAGATGAGAATTTGAGGTATTTTTTTGCCTGGTCTTTTCTCTTCCCCTGTCTTGTTAAATGTTGATTTCCATATTTGCCACCTGATGCCCTTATACTTGATGGTGAGTTAAAACGTTTACTTCCATGGTGCTCTATCTTGCATGTCTGTTTGTAAAATGTTTTGGACTAAATAATGTGGGAGCCGGCCTTTTATGGAATCAGTGGTTATATGAGAATGTAATATGATGCTCAGGGAACAGTCTTGTCCATCTATCCATTTGTATTGTTTGCCCTTTTCTGGGGAGTTGGGATGTAACAATTAATGCATAGTATTTACTAATTTGACGATTTCAATTTTATCTGGAAACAGTCAAAAGGATACTTTTAGACGATGTATCTCTCACATGCAATTTGTTTATTTTGATTAGCATTAGAAATCTTGTTATGCCCTAGCAATAAGCGTTGCAACTTGTTTCCAACTCTGCTAGTTGGATATATCATGCATCATTGCAGACCTTTTTATTTCTTCATGCAGATCCTTATGACCCAAATTCATTGATGCATTGGGTTCTCACCTTTGTCTAAAATTGGTATGTTAGAGGCTATTTCAATCATCCAAAAAAGTTAAAACTTCCATACACATTTCACATATTCCCATACACGTTCATATATTTCTATACATTTTTCACATATTTCAATACATTTTTTAACACACCTACCAATATTATTGACAAGCCCAAAGTGCTAGTTTATTTGACTTGCTAAACAGGCAGAAGTCAACTTTTGTTAATATTGTGAGGGTGGTTTAGCCCCTAGCTTTTGATATAGAGATGAAACACAGCTCCATATTGCTCTTATTTCAACAAAGTACTGATCGGAAACTACTAACTTTCTTCTGATTAGGCTAAAATGTGGGGAATTTTTGTTGCTACTTATTGGGCATGTAAATGGGCGGGAAATACCTCCAATGGCAACAGTACATGATGATATCAGGCGGCTTTTGGGTGAGAAATCTGCCTCTTTGATTTGGGCAGCTAGTCAATTTGGCTCAACCCTTGATCCAGATCAGAGACTCATGGCTCTACACATCCAAGCTCGCAGAGTGCTTGAGTCACTTGACCTTTACTGAACCAAATCATAGGATTTTGTCGGTTGAGCACTGCTATTTACCCTCACAGGCAATTCCTAGTTTGGATGATATATAATCCTGGAGGTGCCACATTAGCTCCTGTTGGTTCTTTTTCTTGTGAGTCGGAGTTATTGGGAAACAATGAATTAGAAATCTAGATAGGAGAGAGATTGTATGATTTTGTGAATTTGTACAAATACAAGAGAGATCTTTCTGCTAATCCTGTTAATTGCATGCATGTTCTAAGTAGGGGTGGGCAACAGTTTATCCGAACCGCTCAAACCGCCCAACCCGCATATAAATGGGCGGTTTCGCAAACATAATGCGGGCGGATGCGGTTTGAAATATGACAAATTTGCGGGTTGCGGGCGGGTCGCGGTTTAAACCCGCAACCCGCAAAAACCGCCCGCACTTTAATTATTATTATTATTTTTTTATATACCAACTTTGTAACTTTTACAGGAACACCATTATATTCTCTACAATACTAGGATCCGTATTTTTAAGTATTTCTCAACTTTTTTAATGCCGTAGAATTATTAAGTCCTAAACTTGGTTTCTTATATGATTTTCATTGGTGATTCATCCACTTTTTTCTAATAAAATTTTCCTTCTGGAGGTCGATGGAACTTCTAGTTTGATTATTGATTACTGAACTGACAATTCTAATTGAGTACAACCTTTAATGCATTGATATACATTTTTTTCATGGCAAAAATGCTAGTGTAGGGTCTCTTTGTTTTGGGTACTTTCATTTAATGCATTGATATTCAATTTTTATTTGTAAACTCATTAGAAAATTGTTATCACGAATATATAAAATGAATCTGATGCCTAAATTCGATGGGAAAAAAAAATTCAAAATTAATTTTTAAAGAAAAAAATGTAAACCGTAAACCGCCCGCAACCGTCTGCACATTTGCAAACCCTATACGCACAAACCGCAAACCGTACTGCGGGTGGTTGCGGATTGACTTTTTCCCAAACCGCATAGATGCGGGCGGGTCAAAATCGAACCGCGAACCACACAAAACCGATCCGCGAACATCCCTAGTTCTAAGTGCTGTTCTTGTGTGAATTTTTGTGAGACAGCATTTATTCTTCCGCCTTTTTTAATTCGTTTAGACTGTGTTTGGATCGTATATTCGAGTAGGGGTTTAGAAAGAAAAAAGGTGAGTGAAATGTGAATGAAATATAGTTATATTTTATTTATGTTTTTTTTCTTTTTTTGTCCAAATTTCGATTCAAGTTCATGATCCAAACACAATTTTAACATAAATATGTTTCTCTTTGATGTGAAAAAAAGATAAGCTCTCTTGGCAAAAATAATAAATAAAATAATATTTAAAAAAGAGAGAGCTTTATTTGTTTGTCAGTAATGCTACGTAGCTCGAATCTTCCCTTTCCCAAATCCCTCCGAATTCAAAACGACGCCGTTTCATCGTTTTGATTTTGATTTTTATTTATTTATTTATTTATTTTTCAATAACGCAGAAGAAGAAAAATCAAAAAAGAAGAAGAAGAAAGAAGGAGGATGAGGAGAGTAGCAGAGAGACAGAGAAAAAATCATCAACAATGTCATCATCATCATCTTCAGATTTTCATCAACATCATCATCAACCACCATTTATCTTTAGATCTAGAAAAAATAAATAAATAAATAAATAATCAGATCCAGAACATCTTCATCATCAACAACATTTTCATCAATATCACCATCACCATCACCACATTTTTAGGAAAAATAAATAAATAAATAAATAATCAGATCCAGAACATTTTCATCATCAATAACATTTTCATCAATATCACCATCACCACATTTTCAGGAAAAAAAAAAAAAATTAAAAAATAAAAACTGCGATCGATCTGAAATCAGAGGCGAAGGTGGAGGCGGCGGCAATCGGCGACGGCCTCGACCCTCTCTCTCTCCATTCCCTCTTCTCCTCTCTTCTCTTTCTCTTTCTCTCCCTCTCCCTCTCTCTCTTCCTCTTCCTCTCCGCGTTTCAGACATAAAAGAGGGAAGAGGAAGAGGGAGAAAGAGAGAGAGAAAAGAGGGGAAGAGGGAATGGAGAGAGAGAGAGGGTCGAGGCCGTCGCCGATCGCCGCTGCTTCCACCTCCGATTTCAGATCAATCGCAGTTTTTTTTTTTTTTCTTTTGAAAATGTGTTGATGATGATGATGGTGATGTAGATGAAGATGTTGTTGATGATGAAGATGTTCTAGATCTGATTATTTTTTTATTTTTATTTTTTTTTCTGGATCTGAAGATGAATGGTTGTTGATGATGATGTTGATGAAGATCTGAAGATGATGATGATGATGATGATGTTGTTGTTGATGATTTTTTTTTTCTCTATCTGCTACTTTCCTCTTCCTCCTCCTTTCTTCTTCTTCTTCTTTTATTTTTCTTCTTCTGCGTTATTGAAAAAAAAAAAAAAAAAATCAAAACGGCAAAATGATGTCGTTTTGAATTCGGGGGGATTCGGGGAAGGGAAGATTCGAGCTACATAGCATTACTGAAAAATAAGGGATAGTTACGAGTTAGTTTTTTTTGTTAGATTTACTTACTGATAAGTCTTTTTTATTTTATTTTATTTTATTATTTATTTATAAATATCTCTAAAATATCCTTCATTCACCTTTTTTATTCTTATTATGACTCCTTCCTCCCCTGCCAGTGACCACTTTCAGTTGCTGTCTTTGGCTGCTTGCGAACACCTTCAGTGATAGTTTATGGTGACCACCTTCGGTGATGGTTTCCGGCCACATTTCTCCAAGCATTTTTTAAAAAAAGAAATGACATCTATCGTCACCAAGTCATTATTATCACCACTCAGTCACTCATTGTCATACACACTCACATTTACATATATACACACGCTTACTCCTTCATTCACTGACATTTACTTATATGTTTATTCATTCACAAAAACACAACTACAGACACAAAAGAAGTAATAGAAATTAGTTTAATAAATTTATCAAAAATATATTCAATGATAAATTTATCACTGAACAAATTACTAATAAAATCATTAATAATTTATCAATGATAAATTTTATCATTGACTGATTTATAAAAAAATTACAAATGAGAAATTTGATTCACTTACTCTTACTTATGTTCATTCATTCATTTATGAAAACTCATCCTCGTCTTCAACACATAGAATAAAAGAGACTGATAAATTTATCATTGAAAAATAAATTTAAATCTGAGTCTAGTGTAATAGATTGGATTTGAGAGAGAGAGAGAGAGAGGGGGGTGAGATCTCGTGAATCACCATTATTTAGTGTCATTTGGAATCAATTGCATCTCTAGAACAACTAGATCAGTGTAGATCTAGATGTGGTTGCCAAAAAATAGTAGCTAATGAGGACGATGATGATGGAGAATGGTGGCAGCAACATAGGAGGTGGTGGTAATGTGGTGGTTGTGTAGATTGGTGACAGTAAAAGTAGATCGACGATAGTGGAGATGGTGAACGATGGCGACGGCCAAATAACGATGGTAATGGTGGCGAGTGGACACCACTGACACCATCAACGGTGATAGTGAATAGTGATGGTGTGAAACTTTTGAATTAATGGTAGAGAGCGTGCTGTCTTTTGGTTTTAAAAAAATAATGAGGGTAAAATAAATATTTTAAGATTTTTTGGTGTGTATAGGAGTTCAAGATAAGTAAGTCCATTAAATAAGATTTACTTGTAATTAATCCAAAAAATCACTTAGAATTTCTCATCAAATGTCTAGATTTATTCAAAGGAAAAAGGTTGAGATCTCATTTTTTTTTGGACTTCTACCGCCCTCAATATTTTGGAATTTGCTAACTTTTTGTTTTTTACTTTATTTATTTATTTATTTTTTTTCATACCACTTTACTGACATGTGTATGTGAAAATTGTAGAAATTAAGAAAAAAGGAGTCTATCATTTCTGTTACCAAAAAATCACTTAGAATTTCTCATCAAATGTCTAGATTTATTCAAAGGAAAAAGGTTGAGATCTCATTTTTTTTTGGACTTCTACCGCCCTCAATATTTTGGAATTTGCTAACTTTTTGTTTTTTACTTTATTTATTTATTTATTTATTTATTTTTTTTTCATACCACTTTACTGACATGTGTCTGTGAAAATTGTAGAAATGAAGAAAAAAGGAGTCTATCATTTCTGTTATTCAAATTATGGATCCACGACAACTTCGTCAAGTTTTTCTAAGGCCATACACTTTCCATATATTTATATATATACACCAGGCTCTCGTATGTGTAATTTCTGTGGCAACATCCAAGGCTCTAATAGCCTGTTTGATTGGTTGGAATAATAAAGGTAGGATTAGTAATTTATGAGATTAATTGTTGGGTTGACTGTCCAATTTAATTAATAGAATAAATATATGTGGGATTATTAGTACGTAATATCTCATGATCATGTGAAATTAAAAGTCTCACGTGTTACAAAGTCAACCATCATTTATGCTATACAAACTCAGAAATGTGAAAATCTTAAAAATATGAAGATAGTGATTTGCAATTAAGATTCAATTTTAGAAATGAATAACAAATCATAATCAAACAATCATAGATTTAATTCAATTAAACAAGAATTGAATCATTTCTACAAATAAACAATGACAAATCGACACACCGATATAATGTGAAAAAACATCACAATTTGAGAACTTCCAATTATGATAAAAAAATCAGTGGCCAAAACCACAAAATAATCCACTAAGAAGACACAATAATTATATATGAGAACTCTTAATTACCTCGCGAAACCACGCCTAAATTGAACCAAACCCATTGTGCCACTTCCACCATTATCTTCACCTTAGAATTACTTTGCCCAACGTGACCACCATTATCTTCACCTCAGAATTACTTTGCCCAACGTTGAGTTCACGACCATGAGTTACTGTAAAATCCACCAAAGCTTCAAACTCAAGTTCTTTGGAATTCACTGATGAACATCTCTCTTTGAATGAATTTAAATGAAAGAAATTCCTTAATGATTGTCAATATAAAGTCCGTTGATCCATCGATCACCTTTACTTCATCAAGGTAAACATTATATAAATATCATCCAATATGAAACATTTTTTCTTTTGTCCTATGAGGGAAATTTGGAAGGGTTCACCGTAAAAAACGCAACTGAGGCAGTTTAAAAGATGTACAATCGCGATGAAGGCTCAAGTGATGTGTCTAAAAGATGGTGCTAACAAACTTCCTCTTATCACTTCG